GCCGTCTTCAACCAACCCTTAACAAGAGCATTACACCTTATCCAAGCATCAAGATCATCCCCTTCGTTAGGCCTTGTGACCATTCCATTCACAAACCCCAATTAATTTTTTGCTATCAGGACTTCAGTAATATCAACGACCCATTCGCCATAGTTCACGTCGGTTAACACTTCTTCAACGAACATCTAGTTAGGGCTATCAGAAGAATGCCGATCGAAAGGAGACGAGACTGGGTATACCTTGTAGCGGTGACCATCACCGGATCCTCCATCGGTGGAACCTCCGCTAGTACCATTAGTCGTCTCCTTCTCTGACTTATCAACCATCGTTCAAAAAAACTTTCTGAATCTTTAGTTCAGCTCTGATACCATGAAAAACAAACTAAAGCGCAAAAGAAAAGACACACAAGTTTACGGGGTTTCCCCGTTCTTGTAAAGAACGAGACTACTCCACGGAAACCTCCATAAGGAGCTTTCAGTTTTCTTTATTAATCACTGATGCTGCTTTCGTCAAGCCTGTCCAGCAACAAAATAAAGAGCACATATATATGCCCTACTACAGCCGTAGGGTTGCAACACACAAAACCCAAAACGGAATAGTTTAGGGGTAAAATACAATCACCTCCCCAAACTATAAAAACACTACAAGATCACGAGCCGGCCTAAACACCGTCGTTGAGGACGCCATAGCGATCGATCAAACCCTAGCTCAAAGAGAATGGGAAGAGAGAGAAAGAAGAGAGAGTATGTGATTAGTATATTGCTACTATCACGTATACAATTATTTTACACTATGATATATTCATACCAATATTGTCCACTTTCATACCACCATGATACAATCTGATGTACTCCCAAACATTACCATCACGATATAGACTAGTAATATATATCTCAATTTTTGTTTCAAAATATATCAAAGTGGATATTATTTTGATTAGCACAATTAATCTGATTTTTTGTGTAATAAATTTAAATTCTGACTTGAAACTAATACATTAGATGAACAACGGTTGATACGCATTCGAGGAAGTAGACTCATTGATTAATAAGTTAGATGTTATTCACATTTGGAAAAGTTTGATCTTTATTCGAAAATGTAAAGCTTGGTTATTATTAGATTTGACTGACAACTTTGAGACAAATATGATTAATAGTTGGTCTAATGTGAATGAGAGCTTTAATTGATGGCAAGCTCTCTCAAAGTACACCACAAATGTCAGAAAGCATACATGGAATACAATAAAACTAACCACAAATCCCACAAAGCTAACCAACAGAAAGCAAACCATATTTGTCAAAAACCACACCACTTTCTCATATTCAAAACTAGGGATGGTAAAAATAATTGTACTCAGGGATACCCGCCCGTATCCAATATAATCGGGTGAGTAAAACTCACATTCGAAGGATTTTTAATGGGTATGGGTAAAATTCGAACTCGAATATTGTGAGTGATAGATGTGCATGATTTTATCACTATTCGATCCGAACCCTCCTGATTATACGCATGCATATCTATATTTTTTTAAATGATCATTATTTTTTCAACATATTTTATATTTATTATACATATACACTATTATCATTAAATTGTATTGCTTTTAACTAACGTTCTTGGTTATAGTAATTTATTCAGGTAATTTTCACTAATATACGGTCAGTATATGTGAAATTGTTAACATGTTGGTTGAAGTTACAAAAAGAGATTATTATCCACAGATAACCGTGAATATCCGAAACCCGATTGTATATGGGTATGATTTTGATATTTTATCCGATTCTTTTGTGAGTAAGAATAAAATTCAAACTAATTTAGATAGAATAATAGATATGCACTATCCTACTCCAACCAGACCTGTCGCCATCCTATTGAAGACCATAATATTATGAAGCAAACACAAACCTCTTGCTGCACACAACACAATCGCACAGAGCACTACAAACACACCCAAAGAGTAGAACATTAATCTTACTAAGGAAACCACATTTCTAATAAAACGAATCACATTTCTCATGAAATGTAACACAAATTTTTTTACTAGTTCACATTACAGAACTCTTAGACCATCTCCAACAAGGAATTGAGAAAATGCTAAAATGCCAAATGTTTTTGGCAGTTTGGCACTCCAAAAGTGGTTTTTGCTCTAACAAGCAATGCCAAAATGCCAAATTTTCTCTTTTTGTGTTAATCTAATTTAGTGTCAATTTCATTATTTTAATTAGATATTTTGTAGATTATTTTTATATAGGTGGCACTAATTAATTAAGACGAATGCTTCCATATATATATTTTTTTATTTCAACATAAAAAATATCATTAAATATAATATCATTAATGACGAAATCACAATAATTTGTTTAAATTAACCATAGAGACTTCACATGTTCAAATATAATATAATTAATGATGAAAAAGTTGTTGGGTGTTAAAAGAGTCGTTGAAATTTAATTTAGGGACTGAAACGGAATTTTTTAATCAAGTGAGAGAATCTGACATTTCATGTCTTTTTCTAGTGGGTATTTGGTAGAATTTTTGGTATTTTTGGCTTTTTAAATTTTCTCAATTGTTTTTGGAGGTGGTATTTTAGCATTTTTGACATTTTGGCTTAGTTGTTGGAGATGGTCTTACATACAATTTGGTATAAATAAATTCTATATGTTTTGAGGAATTCATTTGAAATTAAACATTTTTGTGTTTGGTATTTAAAAGAATTCATTTTGAATTCCAAATTTTGAATTCTATGAAATTTTAACTAGTTATAGCAATTCCGGGGAATAGAGATGAAATTTCAAAATGAATTGCATAAGTACTAATTAAGTATAATAGAATGATATAATTATCCTCATTTGTTATCTAAATTACTTATACATATGACATACCAAACACATAAATTCATTTGACAATGAATTCTACACGACAATGCATTTTATTTCTAAAGATTTGAATATCACTTAGCAAACGAAAGATTTCATTTGATAATGAATTCTACCATACAGTTTGGTATAAATGAATTCCATAAGTTTTGAGGAATTATTTTTGAAATAAAATATTTTTGTGTTTGGTATTAAAAAGAATTCATTTTCAATTCTAAATTTTAAATTCTACGAAATTGGAACTAGTTATAGCAATTCCGAGGAATTGAGATAGAATTTCTAAATGAATTCCACAAGTATTTAGTAATTATAATAGAATGACATGATTATCCTCTTTTATTAACTAAATTACTTATACATATTGCATACCAAACACATAAATTCATTTGACAATGAATTCTACACGACATTTCAATGATTTGAATATAACATACCAAACATAAGATTTCATTTGACAATGAATTCTACACGGTAATTCATTTTACAATGAAATGAATTCTCGATTCATTTGGTACCAAACGGTCTGTACATGGTAATTCATTTTACAGTAAAATGAATTTTCAATTCATTTGATACCAAACGATCGGTTAAAGCATATTACAAATCTCCTAATGCACACCATCAAATATCATTAAAAAAAATTACGAAACCTAACTAGAAAAGCACACCGTAAAACTCATACAGATTCATAAGCAAGTAATTAATAAGAAAGATTAGCAAATAAAGTGACGCTGCTAACAAACACGTGCCCACAAATTAAAGGCAGCGACCGGTCCTGGTGGTGAGGATAGATATGATAATGATATCACCCATATTATATGGTCACAAAGTGAGCTCCTGTCAATTTATCACTTCTGTCCAAACCTACTCTTCTCACCATTGCTTTTGTCGGTAGCTTAGCCTTCTTTGTTTTTTTTCCTAGCAGTTTGATAGTGCTGATAATTATTAACCAGTTAAAAACAAAATATTATACTTACTTAGTTTTCGGATTTTCATTGCCCTTAATATTAGTAATTAGTCCGAGGACAAAGTATAGTTGCAACTTGCAAACTTCAAATTAATAGATTGATTCTTCTTTTATGGAACGTGTAAGGAAATTATATATAGTTCATAGATCCACAAGGCTTGAAAATGAAACATATTATTACAATTTAGAAATATACTTTGAGTTGGGGTGGTCTGCCGGAGTATTTGGCGACGGCTTGTTGGAAATGTGTATGAATAGCTTTGAAAGCTATAGAGTCTCAAGTGGAAAAACTACCACATTGGTAGTTTTACTTGGTGAAATGAGTATAAAGATAGGAGCCTCTCTCCTAAGGGCATGCCCCTTGGGGTGACCCACTTTTGTGGGAGAGGGAGGACCTAACGGACCACCACACACGCGCGCGCCGTCCGTCCAAGGGAGGATGGATCACTTGAGACTATATACATATTTTTTGGAGAAATTCCGAACGAAATTAATTATTAATCGGTTACTCTGAGGAATATTCCAAGGGATAATCGATTGAAAAGGAATATTCGAAAGATAATCTCCGCAGGATTTATCCTAACCGACGGTTTTAATTAAGGAAGTAATTATCTTCCTTAATTAATCCGACTTATTCCCCAAGCAAGAGGGTATATTCCTAGGGGTTCAGCTCCTATAAATAGCCGCCTCCCCAGCCCCTCTAAAGACACCACAACGAGCATAAACACAATAGAGAGAGTGTTCAGAGAGCTCCGGTTTTCGCACAAAACCGCGAGTACACAGAGGAGCTGTTTTATCCTGGAGACGACCGGTTGATAGTCTGCCGTGCGCATCGAGGGCAGTGCCGCGAACGTCTTAAAGAAAGCGACCTAGTCCGCGACTCAGCTCCAGATTCGGTATCCTCATCTTGTTGTTGTTCCGTTTCTAACACGGCTTACACAGCTTAATGGGCAGTGCCGCCATATCCCAAGAGAAGCGAACGGTGCAGCTCACATCATGGCGAGAGCGATGACTCCTTGGGGAGAGAGAGTGGTTTGGTTTGATACTGCACCAATTTGTTTGATTGATCAATTACAGCTCGATGATGTAACGACAGGAATTGATTAATGAGAAGCACAGGTTTACCATAAAAAAAAAAGAAATATACTTTGAGAAACTGAAGAGAAGAGAATTTGAAGGGCATGATGGTATTTTCCATATTTGGACTATACAAGATAGAAAACGAGTTATTTCCTAATATGGTTGATTAGCTGGCCAGACTCCAAATCCAAAGTCCAAACTGATTCTGCACCTCATACACATTTCCAATTTGGCAATGATATCCAACTTTGAAGAAGAAGAAAAAGAAGCAATGGCTTTGTCCTTCCTCTGGCCCTCCCCTGATCGTGACCTTCCTTTAGCTTTTAGCTTTTTTTGTTTCCTTTTTCTTTACCAAGATATCTTCACTGCTATGTATCTTGATTCCTCCATACTCCATTTCCTGTTCTTGAGAGAAGAGATCATATAGAGCCATAGCCAGGGCGCCTGAAAGTGAGGAGTAGCCGGCGACCAAGAATTTCAGAGGTTTTGAAGAATCGGTTAGTTTCCTCTTTCTATGGGTTCCATTAAATTGAAGTTGCAGTTGGGAACACGAGGTTTTGTTCTCTTAAGCATTGCATTGGTGCCGCCATCAGTTACTTGCTTTTAAGCTTGCTAGCTTCTTATAATTGGGGTGTTTTCCCCCCGCTCTATCTCCGTTGATATTTGGGAAAGTAAAAGGAAACCCCTGGGTTTTGTGTTTGGAAATTTGGTAGGACTGGAGTCCCCGCAGAGATATCTAGAGAATGTTTTTTCCAAACGTAAGTAAAACCCAATTAAGCTTTACTTCATAGTAATCATCTTTTGACTATGCAGATTTAGATTACATTTCTTGTTGTTGTGGTGGTGGGTGTAAGGTTGAGCAGCTCTAGCACCGACTAAGCCAAACCACGCCACCCTTTCTTCCTCTCTATTTATCTTCCCACTCTGTTCCGATCTTCTCGTATTCCATTGAGAGTGTTGACAGTTATATTTGATGGTTGATATTATTGACAAATCTTTAATCGTTCATATCATTGCTTAGTCAACATTAATACATGTGTTTTCATCAGCTGTAATGCTAATATTCGTGTGCATCAGTTGGCTCAACTTCGTGAGATTTGTGAGGCGGTCCATTTGCCGTTTGTGGTGCTCGGGGATTTCAATGTCACATTACATGCCCACGAAAAAGATGGGGGTAATCCGTGGAATGCTTCCCAGTCTATGGCCCTGCGTAGCTTTGTTCAGAATCTTGGCCTCCATGACCCGGGGCACCAAGGTGATCTCTTCACCTGGACGAATAGACGTATGGGGCCGGCTTGTATTCGGGAACGGTTGGACAGAGCATTGTGCTCCCCGGAATGGATTGAACGATTCCCTGATACCCTTGTCAAGCATTTCACGGATCAGGGATCGGACCATCGGGCTTTGCTGTTAGCGGACAAACCTTATGTAAGGAATTGTAGGCCCCTGTTTAGATTTGATGCCCGATGGGCTGATAATCCAGAGGTTAAAGCGATGGTGACTTATGTCTGGAGTGAATCCATCCACGGTACTCCCATGTTTCAGTTATGGGAACGGTTGAAGAAGTTGAGACATCTGTTATATGATTGGAGTAGGGCGGGGACGACGAATTCCCTGCGAAATATTCGCACCCTCCAGGCTGAAATTGAACGGATGAAAAGCATTCACCCAATTTTTTTTTTTTTAGATAAGGGTGCTATATGTTTTTTTTGTTTTGTTATTAGGTACTACTGAAGGGACTCGAACCTGGGACCTCCAGGTTCATGACTAGTGGTATTACCACTAGACCAATCCCTTGTTCGTAGCATTCACCCAATTAATTGGGATGATGTTCGACTTCTAGAAAATGAGCTTAGTAGGCAGTGGGAGGCGGAGGAGTTGTACTGGCAACAGAAGTCCAGGGTTCGTTGGCTGAAGAGAGGTGACAAGAATTCCTCATATTTCCACACAGTAACGCGAACTCGTCGTAAGAGGAATTTTGTGCATGGTCTCCGGACGGAGACGGGGGAGTGGGTTACAGAGGAGGCGGGGAAAGCGGAAATTGCTGGATCTTTCTATCAACATTTGTTCACTTCTGAGAACCAGGTGCCCAACGTGAACGTCCGGGTGGAGGCACTCCCAATTCGCAGATCCGTGACCCCGGAGATGAGTGCCAACCTAGTAGCTCCTGTTTCTCCGGAAGAAGTTCGCCGAACGGTTTTCGGTATGGGGTCCAAACAGGCGCCTGGATCGGACGGATTCACTGGCAAGTTCTTTAAGGCTTTCTGGGACATTGTTGGAGGGTCCGTGATTGATGCGGTTATTTCTTTCTTTGCGTCTAGTAAGATGCTTAGAAGTTTTAATCATACATGGTTGACATTGATCCCGAAAGTGGAGAATGTGGAAACGATGAAGCAATTGCGGCCCATCAGCCTATGCCAGTTTGTGTACAAAATTATTTCAAAGATCATGGCTGCGAGGCTTGCAGTCATCTTACCTGACATTATTTCGGAAGGTCAAAACGCCTTTATTCCCGAGAGGCAGATTGTGGAGAATATTCTCCTGGGTCATGAGTTGATGCATTATTTGAAAATAAAAAACCGTGGGAAGAAAGGGTTTATGGCTCTGAAGGTTGACATGGAAAAGGCCTATGACAGGGTTGAATGGCCGTTTCTTCTGGCGGTAATGGAAAAGATGGGATTTGATTCTACTTGGAGAGGATGGATTCAGGAGTGTCTTAGATCGGCCTCGTTCTCAGTGCTTATGAACGGCACCCCAGCAGGGTTCTTTGCCCCTTCTAGGGGGCTGAGGCAGGGTGATCCGTTGTCCCCTTTGCTGTTTGTCATTTGCACTGAAGGGTTTGCAGCCCTCCTTCGGAAGGCGATCTCTGAAAAACGATTAGAAGGTGTTAAAGTCGCTCCTCGTGCCCCTAGGATTTCGCATCTGTTTTTTGCTGATGATTCGTACCTTTTCCTGCGAGGTTCGCTCCAGGAATGTGAAAACCTGATTGAGGTGTTGAATGAGTATGAGGAGTTAAGTGGGCAAAAAGTGAATCTGGCTAAATCAGCGGTATGCTTTAGCAAAAATATTGCGGTGCCAGATCAAGAGTTTTTGGCCCAGATTCTTGGAGTGGGGGCGGTGGGAGTGCATGATAAGTATCTGGGGTTGCCAACGTTAATTGCTCGATCCAAGATGGCAACTTTCCGGTATTTGGAGGATAAATTGTTGGAAAGGTTACAGGGGTGGAAGCAGAGAACGCTTTCCTGGGCGGCTAAGGAGACATTGATCAAAGCAGTGGCAATGGCACTGCCGTTACATGTGTTATCCTGTTTTAAGCTCCCCCTAGGCCTTTGTAGGATTCTGGACAAGCATGTGGCCCGATTTTGGTGGGGGCTGGCGGAGGGGCAGCCAAAGATCCACTGGATGTCCTGGAGAAACCTTTGTCGCAGTAAGCATGAGGGTGGAATGGGGTTTCGTCGGTTTGAGCAGTTCAATCAGGCTCTCCTTGCCAAAATTGGGTGGCGTATTCTGATGGAGCCCCAGTCCCTCTTGGCTCAGGTGTATAAAGGGAAATACTTTTCGCGCGGGACGTTCCTGGAAGCGAAGGCGCGCTCTCGGCCCACGTGGGGGTGGACTAGTATCCTCTATGGCCGGCAGCTTCTCGTGGCTGGTTTGCGGTGGCAAATTGGGAATGGGAAGAACGCTCCTCTTCTTCAGTCCAATTGGATTCCTGGGTTGCACCCCGAAGTGCCGGTTTACAATCCCCGGGTTTTGCCAGAGGGTAGGGATCCGCGTGTGGAGGAGGTTATCTGTCAGGGGGGAGGGAGGTGGTGTGTGGACAGCTTAAGCCGATGGTTTGACCCGGATACGTGTAAAGCTATTCGTTCTATCCCTCTCCCGGTTCAGGCAGTGGAGGATAAATTGATTTGGCATGCAACTACTGACGGGATTTTCACAGTCAAATCTGCTTACCACCTGGCAGTCACGCTTGATAAGCGGTCGGGCAGGTGGCGGGATATGGTTAGCTGGATGGATAAGAGTAGTTGGATCCGTTTGTGGGATGCAAATATCCCTCCTAAGCTTAAGATTTTTGCCTGGCAGATTTTTAATCGCATCCTTCCTACCATGGAGGCCCTTGTCGAGAAGAAGGTGGCTGTGCTTCCGCGTTGCCCGGTTTGCTGGGATGAGTTGGAGTCTTTAGAGCATTTGTTCCTTTACTGCCCTGTTGCTCGAGCTCTGTGGGATTATTCTGGGTTGGAGTATTTGGGGGAGAGCCTTCCTCGACAAACTTTCCCCCTCTTTCTCAAGCGGCTGCTGGCTCTTATTCATCAACCGTCGGTGTTCATGGCAGTGATTGCTGTCCTTTGGCGGATCTGGAAATCCAGGAATTGGGTGGTGTTTGAGGGTAAACAGCTTGGGTTTTTGCCCCTGGTACGCCAGTTTCAGCAACAGGTTGATGAATGGATGCGGTTGCCTGGTGATCCTGCTGCTGGGAGGGGGGGGGGTGTCGCGCCGAGCCTACAGGCGACCCAGGGAGAACTGGGCTGTGTCTGTAGGTGGGATGGGGCGACGAAAGCTGGTTCGCATTCTGCAGGGGGAATTGTGCTAAGCTCAGACGGTGGGGTCTTGAGGGTGAAAGGGGTTCAGTTCCCGGGTATTGATGATCCAGTCGTTGCTGAGATGTTGGCGCTTCGAGAGGTGGTGATGTGGTGTTTGGCTCAAGGCTTCAGCATGGTTTGCTTTGAAGGGGATGCCAAGGTGATTATTGAGAAAATTGGGCGATGAGAGGCGGTTGATAGCAGGATGGGGGCTATTCTTACTGAGGTGGTGCATTTATTTGACCTTCATCCTGGTTTGAGTATTCGATTTGTAGGTCGGCGTAGTAATAGGGTAGCCCATTTGGTGGCTAGAAAGGCCCTTTCGTTGTACCCGGCTGCGTGTCGTGTTTTTGATTTTCAGGCCTGGCTGATGTCCAGGATGTAACTACCTTTTTGTGATCAATATATATCTTTTGTTAAAAAAAAACATTAATACATTTCGAAAATTCCTATTCCACATATTCTCTAATTTTAAATTTTATTACAATTAAATTAAAAAAAAGTTATTTCTCTAATAACTATTAGTTCCCATTTAGACAAGAATGAGTATTGTAGTTGTACCTCTGTTGTCACAATCGCACTGCAACCACAACAACAAAACCGTAATGTTGTTATGTTTGTCCATATGGTTAGGACCTTGATGACAAGGTTGGTTTTGTCTATGTAGTACTTTTGAAAGTGTTATGAATTTCATCTACATACTGATCATATAGCAATGGAATGACTTTGATTCTGTGATGTAGCTTATGCACAACGGACACTAGTGTAAGAAAACGTCATGCTGCGTAGCAGAGTAGGGGCGGGAAGGAAGCAGCAACAGGTTGAAGTTGGACCGCCATGGGGAGATTTCTGTGCGGATATCTTGAGCTCCATATACGAAAAGCTCCCTCCGAACCCAGGAGCTGGCCGCTTACAATTCAGATCAGTATGTAAGAACTGGCGTCTGGCGTCAAATACCTCATCGCCACGCCGAGAAATCCCCTGCTTCTCGGGCTCCCCTGAAGCCAGCAATGTCGGCGGAAATCCCCAGCAAGATCCGCGAAGAATTGAGCTGCGCATGTATTCGATACAGCTGGCCTGGGAGCGGGTGGTTGCTTCTGTCAATTAGTGGCGTCGGAATCATGGGGCTTTTCAATCCTTTTTTGCATTGGCCTACTAGCTTCGTTCGGCTTCCTGCTCTGCCTCACTCTGTTTCACAGCCACCGTCAAAAGCTGCCTTCTCTGCCCCACCGACCGATCCTGACTGGACCATCTTCCTCGTGCGGGACAGCTGCAGCTTCAGCACGTGCCGGCACGGCGAGCTGCGGTGGAGCGATTACACCTGCGGAGGGAAAGGGGACCGCCGATTTTGCGAAGGGATCGGGTACAGGGAAGGGAGCTTCTTTTGCTTGTTCGATACGGGAGATGTTTTGATCTTTGGAGTTGGTGCCGGACGGCGGATGGGAGCGATGCTGGTGGCTGTAGCTGCTCCTCCGGCGATGGTGATGCTGGCGAGGCAGAATCGTTTGCGTGTTGTGGCAGTGGCGGCGGGATCGGATGGGGAGTTTCTGGTGATGAGTTGGGGCAGAGGAGGCGGCGGCAGCGGGATCCGGTTGCTGCGCGTGGAGAGGAAAACAGGGGAACAGTTGCAGGATGGGCGCGGGTGGGGATCAGACATTTTAGTGAAGGAGTGGGCGAGCGTGACTGTTGAGGAAACGAGCTTGCCTCCAATGGTTGCCGATGTTCTTGATCTTTGCCCAAGGTTTTTAGCTTTCTACATTGTTTTGTTCTTCCTTTCCCTTCACCTTTTCTTCATGTGGGGGTGTGAATATTGACGCGAACAAAATTTGCACTCACCAAATTTCCAAGGATTGAACTCGTCAAAATTTGCACTATTTCCTTAGGCATGTCACATGTGCCTCTCAAGTTTGGAACAAAGAGTCTAGGACAAGAAACTATTACTCAAAATGGTTCAATACTTCAAACTATGAGAATTCTGGAAGTAATGAAGTGAGAATCTTGATTTTACGTACAACTGAAAACTCAAGTAACATCAAAATTGTAGATTAAAATAGTATGATTTTAAGGTTTATCCAAAAATTAATAACTTAAAAACCAAATAGTAATAAATTTTATGAATAATCGTCAACAACTTATCACTTATGTACTTCTAAAGATAATTTTGTCTTTCTAAATAAACACAAAATTGAAAGAAGCCATGGATCGAATATTTGGGCAGCCGTCAGCTTCGTCAAGTATGGGCTTTGATACCAATTGAACCTACCTTCAATCTCTTTGGGGATTAGGATTGGCGAGAAGACGAAGTAGATCACAATCGACGAATAAAGAGAAGGTGAAGGAGTAACAAATGCTCGGCATCAGTCTTCACTCTTCACTGTATCTTTTATAATATATGGGCCGAGATAAAAGAAAAGCCCAAAGGAGAAATTTCTAAAGCCCAAAAGTAGTAAGCTTAAAGCCTCAGTGTGTGTTCTCTCAAATTTCTTGTAATATCGAGTTAAACCAAAATAAATAACTTGTTAAAATTTATGATGAGGTGGGGAATTTAGTAGCGTTTCATAAATGCTAAGTATAGCGTTATACATTGTTATGTCCCCATAATTTATTCCCCTTATCCCTTCCTTGGAAAGATGAGAAAGCTTTTGAGGAATTACCATATAATAATGAGTTAACAGCTTTCGTTTTGCCGGGAGAGTATCCTTGCATTATCTTATGGACGGGTAGGTCAATAATATTATGGTGAGCCACCATGAGAAACAAATCCCAAATTATCTTCTTTTTTTTTTTTTACAAAAGATAATCATATATTGATCAAAAAATACAGTTACATCCTGGAATACAGTCAGGTCCGAAAATCAAAAGCACGACTCATAGCCGGGTACAAAGAGATGGCCTTTCTAGCCACCAAATGGGCTACCCTATTGTTACGCCGACCTACAAATCTAACACTAAAACCAGGATTACTGCCAAGAACCTGAATGAGCTCCTCCAACACTGCTCCAAACCGACTATCCCGAGCATCCGCATGATTAATTTTATCAATGATAACCTTCGCATCCCCTTCAAAGACTACATCCGCAAAACCGAGCGACTGACACCACAGCACAGCTTCACGAAGCGTTACCAACTCTACAACCAAGGGATCGTCAAAACAAGGAAACTGCACCCCCATCGCCATTAAAACAGCACGATCCGGGGTCAAAAGCACTACACCACCAGCCGAGTGCGAACCAATCCGAACAGCCCCGTCCCATCGGCACACAACCCCGCTCACCCTATCCTGAACCAAGTGGGGTTGCTCCAATTGGATACGTACAGGAGCCCTATCCATTCGAAGCCGGACCCACTCATCATATTGTTGTTGAAATTGGCGCATGAGGGCCGGAAACCCGAACTGCTTGCCCTCAAAGACAACCCAGTTCTGCGATCGCCAGATCCGCCAAAGGATAGCCACAACGCCCATAACAACCGTAGGTTGGTGAATCACTGTCAGTAGCCGTTTAAGGAACAAAGGGAAAGTGAGCCATGCCTGAATAATCCCACAGGGCCCGTGCTACTGGGCACTCAAGAAAAAGATGCTCCATGGTTTCCGACTCCGCCCAACACACAGGGCACCTGGGATGAACAGGAACCCGTTTTTCAATAAGAGCCTCCGTAGTAGGCAGTAGCCGGTTAAGAATCTGCCAAAGAAAGACCTTCAACTTAGGAGGAATTTTTGCTTCCCACACACGAATCCAGCTCGATCTATCCATCCAACTGACCATCGACTTCCAACCCCCCTGCGCTTATCAAGAGATACCGCTAAATGATAGGCAGACTTGACCGAGAACACTCCATCCGGAGTGGCATGCCAAACTAGTCTATCTTCTACCGGCCGCCTTGGGAGAGGTATAGATTTGATGGCACAGCAGGTTGGCGGGTCAAACCATTGGCTAAGTTTCTGGTCATCCCAAACCCCCTCCCCCCGACAGATTACCTCCGAAATAGTCAAGGCGCCCCCATCTGGTAAGACCCTAGGGTTAAATCGAGGAGGGTCCAATTGAAGAGAAGGAATCCAATTAGAATGGAGGAGGGAAGCAGAATGACGATCACCAATTTGCCACCGCAATCCCTGTTCAAGTAGTTCTCGACCATACAGGATACTTTGCCATCCCCACGAAGGGCGAGATCGAGCCTGAGCTTCAAGAAACGTGTCTGTAGGAAAATATTTGCCTTTGTAAACCTGAGCCAAAAGAGACTGGGGTTCTGTGAGAAGGCGCCACCCAATCCTAGCTAGTAACGCCTGATTAAATTGCTCAAAGCGGCGAAATCCCAACCCCCCATCATGCTTACTACGACACATATTCTTCCAGGACATCCAACGAATACGAAAATGATCCTCAGTAACGCCCCACCAAAAGCGGGCTACATGTTTATCTAATAGGCGACACAAAGAGAGAGGAAACTTAAAACATGACATCACATGCAGTGGCGGAGCCAAAGCAATGGACTTGATCAACGTCTCCTTTGCTGCCCAGGATAAAGGCTTCTGCTTCCATCCCTGCAACCGCGACTTCTCCTCGAGATATCTGAACGTGGCCATTTTTGAACGCGCAAACAATGTGGGGAGACCCAGGTATTTATCATGAACCCCCACTGCTCCCACTCCCAAAATCGTAGCCAAAAACTCCTGATCAACGCGAACAATATTACGGCTAAAACAAACAGCCGATTTTTCCAAATTCACCCGCTGGCCACTCAGCTCCTCATACTCATTCAGAACTTCAATCAAATTCTCACATTCCTGGAGAGTGCCTCACAGAAAAAGATAAGAATCATCAGTGAAGAAGAGATGAGAAATCCGGGGCGCACGAGGAGCCACTTTTACCCCCCCCCCCCAATTGGTCATCTAGAATAGCTTTCCGAAGGAGCACCGCAAAACCCTCAGTGCAGAGCACAAATAAGAGAGGAGACAACGGGTCACCTTGCCGTAACCCTCTGGATGGTGTGAAATATCCTGAGGGGGTACCATTCATGAGGACAGAGAAAGAGGCAGACCGAAGACATTCCTGAATCCTCCCTCGCCAGGTAGAATTAAAGCCCATTTTCTCCAAAACTGCTAGAAGAAAAGTCCATTCGACTCTATCATAGGCCTTTTCCATGTAAACCTTTAGAGCCATGTAACCTTTCTTACCCCGCGTTTTGATTTTCAAATAGTGCATTAACTCATGACCCAGGAGAATATTTTCGACAATTTGTCGGTCCCTGATAAACGCATTCTAACCCTCTGAGACAATTTGAGGCAAGAGGCAAGCAAGTCGTTCTGCCATGATTTTGGTAATAACCTTATAAACGAACTGGCAAAGGCTAATAGGACGTAAATGCCGCATCGATTCCACCGTATCAACCTTCGGGATTAAGGTGTGCCAGGTGTGATTGAAACTACGGAGTAGTCGACTAGTCGCAAAAAACGAACACACCGCGTCCACCACCGAAGTCCCCACAACATCCCAGAAGGTTTTGAAGAATTTGGTGGTGAACCCATCCGACCCCGGCGCCTGCTTCGACCCCATTGCAAACACCGTTCGACGAACCTCACTAGGGAGAACTTTAGCCGTTAGGCTAGCGTTCATCTCAGAAGTGACCTTACGAGCAATCGGCAAAGCTGCCACACGATCCGCCATGTTAGTCACCTGATTCTCCAAAGATAAGAGATGCTGATAGAACGATGTTGCAATGTTAGCCTTACCATTCTCCTCCGTTACCCATTCCCCAGCCTCACTACGAAGGCCCTCCACAAAATTCTTTTTACGCCAAACTCTGGTAACAGTATGAAAATAAGCTGTATTTTGATCACCCTTTTTCAGCCAGTGGACCCTTGACTTTTGCTGCCAGTAAGCCTCCTCCGCCTCCCAATGACGATTCAATTCCATCTCCAGATCACGAACCACGTCCCAGTCAATAGGATGGACGCGTTTAACCCTCACAATTTCACTCTGAAGAGTTCTGATGTTCCGCAATGAATTGGTAGTGCCTGCTCTACTCCAGTCATATAACAAATGGCGGAGACGCTTGAGACGTTTCCAAAGACAGAACATAGGCGTTCCCTGAATATCCTCCCGCCATACGTAACAAACCATGGCCCGAACCTCCGGGTTATCCGCCCACCGGGCATCAAACCGGAAAAGGGGGCGACTATTACGAGCGTAGGGCTTATCCGAGAGGAGGAGCGCACGATGGTCAGAGCCTTGGTCCGTGAAATGCTTAACCAAGGTCTCAGGGAACTGGTCCACCCAAGTCTGTGAGCAAAGGGCCCTATCCAGCCGTTCTCGAATGCAGGCGATACCCATCCTACGGTTGGTCCAAATGAATGGGTCGCCAAGGAAACCGGGGTCATGCAGACCCAGATCTTGAATAAAATCACGCAGACTGATCGAATGAGCAGCATTCCAGGGGTTCCCACCATCTTTTTTGCTCATATGTAGGGTCGTATTGAAATCGCCAATGACCACATAAGGAAGCGTAAGAGAAGAGCAAAAGTCGCGAAGGTGGGCCAACTGGCCTGCTCGAATACCAGAATGACAGCTAATATAAACACAAATCACAATATAAGAAAAATTAACTTCATTAATCTGGGAGCAAATACAGAAGTTGGAATGATAAATCACCGAAGCATCAACTCCGGGGGACCAAGCTACAACTAAACCATCGGACGCATCAATTGTTTCCACAAAAAAACACTGGGAAATATCAAAACCTAATCCCCGCATACGACGGGAAACAACACGCCGACTCGATCGTGTTTCCGAGAAAAACACGAGATCTGGCTTATTCGAGCGAACTAATCCTACAGCAGTTTGGAACGTGAGGGATGGTCCAATTCCTCTCACATTCCAAGTGAGGAGCTTCATTTATCGGGCTGGGGCCATTC